AAAGGACAGCCGCCCCTCGGAGGAGGAGGAACGGCCTGAGCTCGAAGTGTAACAAGGCCTCAGGGCATGCATGCACGGGGACATCAGGGTGCATGTGCAGTAACATCAGGGCGCGTGCACGGGAACAGCAGGCTGCATGTGCAGTGACATGGGGCGCGTGCATGGGGACATCAGGGTGCATGTGCAGTAACATCGGGGCGCGTGCACGGGGACAGCAGGCTGCATGTGCAGTGACATGGGGCGCGTGCATGGGGACATCAGGGTGCATGTGCAGTAACATCGGGGCGCGTGCACGGGGACAGCAGACTGCATGTGCAGTGACATGGGGGCGCGTGCACGGGGACAGCAGGGTGCGTGCACGGGGACATCAGGGCGAGTGCATGGGGACAGCAGGGTGCATGTGCAATAACATCAGGGCGCCTGCACGGGGACAGCAGGGTGCGTGTACATGGCACGAGGCCCAGAGCCGGGCTCCCATTGCTATTCTTCATGTAACAATGTGTGTGACATTTCTCTGCTAATACACAATTCCTAATCCCTCAAGGTAAAGCCTGTTTCCTTTAATACAGGAGCTCAGCTCTTACTCCCAGTCCTTTGAAGTCCAACATTGATCAGGTCTTGGAGAGCTTGTTGTCATGCCTGAAATTTCAGATGAAATCCCTGGAGATGTACCTTTGGGAGAAAAAAAAGTCTTTGGATTTCTTTGGGAATGGAATCCTGGGGTACAAAAATCTGGCTAGTGTAAAAGTCCATGCGTTTCAACCAATTCCTGTTCTGCGGTAGTCATTTATGCTTATTATATAAAAGGCAAAGATAAAATACTCTAAAACTAGTGAATAGGTAACTTTAACTTTTAGTCCTTTTTGAAATTATTATAAGAATTAGCTCTATAAAATTAAGTATAAAAACAAGATCAGCTAGCCAATTACCCTCCATATAAATTTAAATGAGAACGACTTTTAACCTTCTATTAGGTTCCCAAAATATATAATTAAAAGTAAAATGTTATGGATGTGACCTGAATCCTCTAAAGTTTATTAAGAAAACTTTCAGCACTCAAATTATTTTTTATGTTGTTCTGAAAAGAACTATGATTGGGTGGACTTTCCTGCAAATATCAGTTAGGTCATTTTGATTGATATTGTTAATCAAATCTCTGTTATACTTCTGATTTCTCTGTCTACTTTTTCTATCAATTATTGAGGGACAGGTATTTAAATTTCCTACATAAACTCATGAATCTCTGATTGTCCTAGCATATCTATAAACTTTTCATTTGTATATTTTGAGGCTCTAATACATAAATGTTCAGGACTTCATATCCTTTAAATAAACTGATCCTTCTATTGTGTAAAACAAACACCATTATCACACCATTATCACAGCCATACCAAATTTTATTTGATTAAGATTAGTATAACTTAAAATTTTCCCATAGCTCATAAATCCTGCATTCATTCTTTTAAATCTCTTTTCTCTGTGTGTTTTTAAAATTTTTTGAATAGGGTTTTCACTGGTTAAGTCTTTAAACTCACAAGTCATTTTTCTTTTCCTGCAAACTAGTCTACTGTTAATTCTGCTCAATGTAATTTCCATCTAACACTAATTTTCATATCTAGATGTTTGATTGGGGTTTTTAAATGTATCTTTTCTGTCTCTATCTAACTTTATGAACACATGAAATACCATTTAGTAACTGCTTAATGTCAGTGACTGCATAACCTAACATCTGTGTCATTTCCGGGTCTATTTTGATTGACTGATTCTTTTTACTTTATTGGCTATGTTTTTCTACTGCTTCCCATGACTGGCAGTGTTTGTTTGGGTGCGAGACTTTGTAAAATTTACCCTGTTCGCGCTTCCATATTTTTGTATCCTGTAAGTATACTTGAGCTCACTTCTAAGACACATGTAAGTTTTCAAATGGACACAGGCACATATACCAGGTGAGACCATATTCTACCCTAAAAGCAATTCTCAATAAATTGAAAGAAAATCCAGTGAATAGAATGCATGTTCTCTAACCACAGCGGCATTAAAGTATAACTGATAATTGAAACATGTCCGGAAAATCCACAAATAATGGAAACTATTAAATAAATAACACTTACAAAACATCTTCGCGGATAGTCAAAGGGAAGTCAGACAGTCACTGAACAAAATGATTATGAAAGCACAACGTATCAAATTAGTAGGATGACACTAGAGCAGTACTTAGAAATTAGTATGTCTCTGAATGACTATTTTAAAGAAGAACAAAAATCTTAAATCAGTGAGTCCCAGCTTCCACTTTAAGAAACTGGAAGAAGAATGACTCAGGTCCCACATAAGCGGGACAAAGGAAATAATATAAGGGAATGAAAAGAGAATAGGGTAGCCCAGGCAATAATAGAAAGATTGGAATAAAGAATATGCTAAAACGATGATTACTTTCACTATTTTTATTTTAAAGAACAATGCAAGTTGTTTTGGTGTGTATATGTGTGCGTGCGCTGAAAAAGATGCAGACAAAATTAAATTTATTCAAGGCTGGGAGGAGCGTAATGTGAAAAAACATTTGGCAAACTTACTGAAAACATTCCTTATGAGCTATATTTTCCACTCTTAAAAATATATTCAACTAATTGCCTACATATAAATAAAGACATACACAATGTTGTTCATTCCATCAATTTTTATAGTAGCCCTAAATTGGAACCAAGATATTAACAGTAGAACGGCTAAACAAATTGTGGTATATTCATACAAAAAAATTCTATGAATCAAAGAAAATGAATAAACTCACTAAATGCAACCGTGTCAATGGATGTCACAAACCAGATTAAGCAAAAGAATTGCAAACCACAAATGTTATCTCATGGCACTTTATGTATATTGCAAACTCCATGAATTAGTATTAGAAATTAGAATATCGGATAACATTTTAGGAAGGTAAGGGTTGGGACACATCAGGAATACCCAGGATGAGATTCGGAAAATAGCAATGTTGAATTGTAAAATTTAAAAATATCAATATAAACTCATAATCTTTCAAATATATAATTCCTCACTCTGCCCACTGAAAGAGCCTAAGTTTTGCCACATGAAAACCCAGCAGCCACGAGCACCCACAAAACACAGGTTTTGGCAACTAAATACCATTTTTCCACTGAAAGGACCCCCAAACTCCTTGAAGAACCGCTAATCCAGGTTTGGGTCAATGAATATTAGAATATTAGAAAATATTCTAATTTCTAATACTAAGTCTGGGACA